TCAATATAAATAATCTGGTCCGATGCTTCAAAGTAATTCACTTGGCTTCCTCTTTCAAAATGCCCATGAAAAGTTTCTTTTCAAATCGGAATCATACGTCTGAGAATCGCGAGTCTCTGCCTCCCAGAAATGGGGAAGGGTTCTGCAGAAGTTGGGGAGCAGCGTCTCAGAATACTTGGAGAGTTTTTGTGCTGAAGGTTGGAGAATATTTTGCAGAAAATCATTTTTGTGCATAAATCTTGGGAATCTTGAGAGAAATGTAATGCACTCTTAGTGTTTAAACTGTTTCTGCCCTTGTGAACACATGCAAAACATGGCACTCCAGGCAGAATGCTTACGCAGGCTCTGGCGGTGGAAGCGGGGTTAGGGGGCCACCTTTTTGACTGGGTCCTATACTAGGACGAGGCTTGATGGATCAGCCTACTATTGGCTGGTATCTGATGGTTTCACAACCCCCCCCCCCATTAGAAGATCATTCCCCTGCCAGCGTGTACGCGGGTAGGCATGATGATTCATTGGTTGAGCCACCGGGCCTGCATTCAAGAGGTCCCGGGTTCAAATCCTAGCCCACTCATTTTCTGTCGTCTTTGTGGAAACTTGTTCCCAGGCTGCCATGTACGGGATGGCGGAGAGCATACCTGACAGGTCCATGGTGGAAGAGTTTGTGCACGGTTACCTGGAGGCATACTACAGCACCAATAAGGCCTAAAGGACGAAGCGTCTCATCACGAGGCAACATATGCAACCATCTGTGTACCTGTTTGAGAGAGGGTGCTGTGTAGCCTAGTATTTCTGTTCATCTACTTACATTAAATACATTTGACGAATCGTGTGTGATTACAAGAGCAAGGATAGATTCAAGGGGTGGGATCAGGTGCAGTCAGAATTCTACCCCCTTATTAAGGGCGGAGCAAAGTATTCATTAAACTTGGCTGTTGGAATTCTGCCCCCTTCTTGAGAGGGCAGATCAAAGAATGCACTAAATTTCGCCATCAGAATTCTGCCCTCTTACTGAGGGCCGATCAAAGTATTCATTGAACTTGGTTGTCGGAATTCTGCCCTCTAATTGGGAGGGCGGATCAAAGTATTCATTAAACTTCGCTGTCGAAATTCTGCCCCCTTATTGGGACAATGGATCAATGTATGCACTAAACCTCGCCGCCAGAATTATGCCCCTTCACTGATATTGAGGGCGATGAAGGTATACACCACACTTAGCTAACTGAATTCTGCCTCTTTATGGAGGGGGCGGATCAAGGTATGCACTAAACTTCGCTGTCAGAACGCTTCTTCGACAAAATGAACTTTTTAGGGATTACTCCAGAAAGTCTTTCAGGCAATTACAATATCGACAACGTTTTGTCCCTTTCATACACATTGAATGCCTACGTGAGTTTTTACACGTTATTGGACACAAACATATCAAGAAATTTGGGCAGATTGTTTACATATAGCTCTATAATAATATAAAGCAATAATGTTTATATTTTATTAGCATTTGAGCCCGCTGTATAACCGCCTATGGACACCTCGTAAAGTCCACAGACAAAGTAATTATTTTTTGTTTAAATAGGCCTACGTTTTGGATATTTCTTTTTCAGTCCTGGCGTGCATCATCAGAGGCCTAATCTTTAAGTCTGCAGCCAATTTAAGCAAATCCGTTAGTTCAACATGACCCACATTTCGTAGACGATACTCTCTGTTGGGTGATGCTGTAGGCCTACATAACTTGGGAACCAGATGGGTGACAGCGCGATTGACCTTGGGTTAAGCGAAAGGGTTTTTTCAGTTGGTACTCGAATCAGTCGACCTTTCAAATTCTGAAATGGAAAAAATAGTTTTTTATTTTTAAAAATCTGGGATCCGCCGAAAAACAATTTACTGATATAAAAAATACTCTTCTTTGTCATCGAATATTTTCTTTAAAAATCTGTGCACCAACTGATAAAAAAGGCCTCCATTAGGTTGCCTTCCATTTGTTTGTTGGGGTATTTGTTTGTTTTGTTTTTCAATTCATTTCATTCAGTTAATTTGTACTTTTTATGAGAGGAGACTACACTTCCAATTCGATGGGAGCTTCCTTTAAAATAACCCTTAAAAGTCACTATTATTTTCACGAATTTTTCAAGTTGAGTTTCCCCAGCAAGATACATAAAAATATTTCGCCTTCAGGTCGGACCAGTACTAGGTACACGTACTTGAACTACATACATCTACATTGTACATGTACTGTGCATTATGCAGTAAGTATGGTGGCCCTGAAGGGACATAAATTCACTTTAGTCATCATCAGGGTATGATAACTCTTTCACAGCCCTATTTGGTTAAATTCATTGACAATTAAGTTCAGTTTTTGGTTGAACACTTAAAATTACATCCATTCTTTCCTGGACAACTGAGGACACTGTTGTTGTGATGTCATCCAGGGAAAGGCATAGTTCAGTTTATAGGTTTTTCCGTTCACATCGGAACCAACAATTAACTAACTGAAAAGATTGAAGCATCAATTCCTTTATGAAAAAGGGATTGATGCTTGCTTATTGCTATGCATCAGCAGAAAAGAGAAATTTAGTCCAGCACAATCTGCAAAAAAATAAATAAAATGCTGGACGTTTTTTGTGTACGAACCAATGTAACACAGGGGCTTACTTCCTGGGATGGCGTCACAGTTCTGCTCATGAATATGGAAGCCCTCATTAGCATAAAACCAAAAGGGAAGTAAATATACCATTTGAAGTAGTGATACAAAAGTTGAAAATAAAGTTAACGGCGACGGGTACATTTTGAAAGTTTGATTGAAGCTACCCTTGAATGTCTGGCCTCTCGAGTGGTATATCAGGGATTTTGTTTTTGAGGGGCAGGCATGGGGTAGTTACGATTTTTCTGTAAAAACTTCAAATCTTTTCTCAACAGTCCATGCGATCGGTTCTGTAACAATAAACCGATCGCGCCCGCTAAATCACGCGACCTGCAGTGAGTATCACTCCCATACCAAAGTGTGTATCATTTTTGAGTGATGTTAATAAGCTATAAAGCCGATTTCTGGTGTAGTACCCAGCACTCGTCAGAAGTCTGAGTTCGGTATACTATCGTCGGCTTTATTTTTGGTCAATGATACTTATGAACACTGCTTTTTGGTGGACGCCCCGTTTGTTGATATACCTACTTTTTAGGTCGTGCGACTTAGCGGGCGCAATCAGTTTATTGGCGAGAGGGATACGTATCAGCTGTAATTGTCTTTGAAGTTTACGACACTGAAATTTTATACACAGTAGGCCTATTAATCAAATTATATGCAAAAAGCGGTAAGACTGATGGATGAGCTTTCTTTGTAATCCTTGCGAGTTTTGAGGGCAGCAGAATGCACGAAAAGTTATATAAATCCGATGGAAAAATTTCAACTTAACTTTAGTTGAAATCATTTTGAAGGATTCTAAATATATTCTAATAGTGAAAGCAAATACTGGTGTGATTAGGCCTATTTTCCGTTCTGTGTGTGACGGTAAAAACAAACTATTCGCTAGCGTTGGCCCAGGCGCAGGGCGTCATCAGGTTTGGCCAGCCGGGAGTCACTTGACTTGGACTCGAGTCACTGTTATTGTGACTCGTGACTTCTATCAGGTTTTGACTTGTGATTTGACTTTGACTTGCCAAACTTGACCTGCTACCATCTCTGATCCATTGGAGTTGATAACGATGTTCATACGTACCCTTTCCCGGGTCGGTGTACGTTTCGTTCATTCGTTTCGATTTGAAAATGAATATCACACAAACAACTCTTTTGCCGTTTTTTTATTAAAAAACGCAAAACGAGGAAAAAGTCAAAGAAGTCGTTTCTTAATTTTTTTTCCTGTTGAAAACGTAAGTAATCTTGTTTTAAAGTTTAATCCCAATAAATCCATTTCGAGGTGACATGGAAGTCTCTGAGCACTTCTCAAGATAAAAGTTACCTTTGCTCCGCCTTTTTACCTTATAAGCAACGAGTTCCTCTGCTTCAGCCATGTTTGATTTGATGGCTTACAAAGACGTTTCTTACATTACGCAATGAAAAATGGAACTGTTTTTCATTCTGGGAGCAATAGATTACGCTGTTGTTCGTTTTTCACTGTGAAAAACGAAAAAGGACGTGATTATCGTTTTTCGTTTTCAAATCGAAAAACGAATGAACAAAACGTGCACGGACCACGTGGGGCCCTATACTAACAGTTCTGAGTAAAACTCGATTGATCGGTAAGCCATGGAGGTGTCTTTGTCAGATGCAGAGACGGTGTCTGCTGGCGTTTTCTGCTGAAGGGCAAACCTCGGTAAACGAATCTCGGTACATACCGTTGATTCGTTTTTATACCGCTTCGCATTTCCTCGCAGACGACAACGGAAAACAATCTATCGACGGTTTTAGCCTTTTACTGTTTTTATAACAGTCAAACGGTATTGGGATAAATACAGTTTTACCGTGTTCTTGTTTTAATAAAATTATGTACAGAATAAAGATCGGTGACTTTGCCCTGCAGTTTTACACAACTTAGCAAAACAGAAAAAGTCAGTCTTGAGACTGACCGTTTTTCGACTTTGGTGTCAGTTTCACGGTCAGCTTGTGGTGCATTTGTCGCGGTGGGCTAGGGGATGCTGAGGGGCACGCCCTGCACGCGTGAAGGAGTGTGCCCCTGTGTCAGCCGATGAAAGGTAGACGTGAAGGTTGCCCTTCAAGGAGCAAGAACCCTTTCCTGATTCTAAGGAAGGACGATTTGTAACCACAACACCCTCGTGGTGGACACATAGGGTAGACAGAAACTTGACCATGGTGGTGACCTTTGATAAGCCCACCGACTTACAAGGAAATCTAAATTGTTCACCATGTACCAATTAAAACAAATTGCTCAATCCTAACCCCGGCCCGGCCCAAGTGGAACGCGCACTTTCACTCCTTAGTATTAATCTGATTACGGTGAGTATAATCCCTTAGAAAGCCAGAAAACGTAAATGACAGATATAAGCGTGGAATGTCCATGAATGATCTTAGAGACTCTGTCGTGAATCTAGAAATCGACTGCTGCAGCACCGCACCCAACCGAATATATTAGTCAAGTACAATGTTGCCTCGTCGCATGTTCCTAGTGTCTCTCTTCGTCCAAATAACCTGTCGGCCTACGGTACGACACTACCACCATCCACAGAGCTAGCTGTGCTCTATGCACCGTCACTGTCAAGAGATTTTGAATTTGGGTTATGAAACCCCTACGGGACGGTCACTTAGGAATAGAGGGATCCCAATACGACGCTTTTAGCGTCGATCTGCGCACTTCCGCGTTTGAAAATGAGGCTGTATGTGACAGCTTCAATTCTTAATTTGATCAGACGATGGAAAGTAAGGAGTCAAGACACAAAATACATAAAGGTATGTTAAATTCAGACTTTTCAGGCTGAAAAGTTTTGTGGAAGAGTCTTTCAGGATGACTTGACACGTAAAATCGAAAGAAAAAATAACGACAATTGACCACGAACTAACGTACCTGCGATGGTCGTGCATCTTGTGCAGTGGGCGTGGTTTAAACTGAAGTGGAGTCACACTTACGAACCGGATACTGTACGTACTGTGTGGACTTCGAGCTACGACCAAATAAAAAAATTTGTTTGCTCCACTGTTATCCAATTCCAGTCTTTTTGAACAGAATTGTAATTATTAGAGTCAGTGACTCGACATGAGTTGGCGACTCAACTATAGTTGAGTCCTGAGGGGGGGATGGCTCGACTTAACTAATTTCGAGCAAATGACTCGATTCGACCAGAGTCCCTCACCAGAGGAAATGACTATTGACTTGAGTCCCAGAAACTCAAGGCAAAGTTCTTTACGTAATAAAAGTTGCAACGACTTACACTGTACAGTATAATAACGTTCATGTCGTGTTATGGGTGTGACCAAGTACATAGAGGTAAACTCACGATGTTCAAAATGACTTCTTTTGCTTTTGAAGACAGTAGGACATTGGCGTATCCGGGGGGAACTTGCTTCCCCGACAGTTTTTTTTTTACAAAGGATACTTAATAGGTAAAAAGTAATCGGTATATTTTTTAGCACCAAAAGCCACTGAAACCACTGAACACCATGAAATAAAAACAAGGACGTCAGGACCGCGAGGAAGGCTTTTGATACTTTTTTGTCTCGCCGACATCATGTTGAATTGGCCCAAAGCCGCATTCGCTTTTGAACCCCCATACCAAAGAAGCTGGAAATTATTTATTAGGCCTAGTGGTGTGTTTTGGCACCCTCTATCCAGAAACAGGTTTGTGTCGCTAAAAGCAATAACCAGGAACATGTTAATTTAAGGTTGGCTTACAAACCAGAAACGGTTACGTCATCTGACAGCGGTAAGCACAAGGAAGCAGACGACACTGTTGATGAACATCATTTTCGCTCAATATTCGGCATGTTGTTTGTGACGTCATATTCGCTTCACTTTTGCATTCGCTCGAAGTGTGAACTGGCCCACTTGGGAAATTAACAAAGTTTCTGTGTTGTGAAAGAAAGTCCCGACAGAGACAGATGTTTTTATTTCGGGAGGACGAAAATTGCGGGAACTGTAAATGCCCTGACCAAGACGTGCATAAGGGTTCCACTTTGCGTTCAGTTCGTCTTGACGTTGACGAATATCACGAGCGTACGCGTATGTATCTCTACGAGGGTGCGCACTCGGCTAATAGAATTTGGCTTTACAAGCTGTGAAAATTGAGGAGATCCAATGTTTCGAAACCCTTTCACAGTGGAAACCTGAAAATTGTTGATTCCAAACTTACTTTACTCGCCCGTAAGTTTGGAATAAAGATCGCATCGTACGGTAGCAGTGCTTCCGAGTGTTTTAAACGTGCGATTAAACACAGTGGGTGCAACCGCCTCGCTGCCTGCTTAATTTAAAGCCCGCCCTCTCGTAACCCGTTTGCCACGGCGGTCGCTGTGCTCGGTCACAAACGGCTCTGGAGTTGAACCCAAGTGAATTATAATAGTACGGAAGCGTATAGGAAGCGTATAAGGGCCACTTGCAAAAACAATTTTTCGAGATACTATTTCGCTGCGGCGAGTTAGCTAAAACTAGTTAAATGAAATATATTATTTATTTTGTTAAATAATATTGATTGCATTTTAGTTTTAAATTTGAAGTGTTTTAAGCGAATGTCATTTTAAAAAATCCCGTATTTTAGAAGTTTAGTATATATTTTTCAAAAACTTATCTCAAAATATTATGGAGCTCATTTCTTTTTAGATTCCGAATCGAGTGAATTTTTAATAAGGAGCAAATGAATGTTTATATACGCAATGTAATCTCTAGGACTGAATTTTTAAAGTTTGGAATTCTTTAAAAATTCAGACTTTTTTACAACGTAACTGCTTATGTATTTTACGGAAATCTCATTTTATCTGAATTAAGAAATCATCTTAATTGAGAAATTATCTGATCTGAGAAAGCATCCGAATTGAGAACGCATCCAAAGCCGCGTATTAAATGTATTCGATCTTTTAGACGGTATTCTGTGAACGCCTCTTAGTGCTTCAAGTATATTTTTGAAAAAGTGAAGCATATTGAAACAGATTTTTCAAAGATTGTTTTAACGAAGTTTTCACAAGTTGCTTGTTTGTTCATGGTTAGCATTAAAGAAAAAGTGTTGACGTTAAACTGAATTTTGGACAGGATAAGTTCGGAATAGTTCGACTATTTCCGGAAATCTGGGGGAAGTGTTGGTCACGTGGACATTGGGTGATCATTGGGTCTGGTATCTAGACTGAGTCTTAATATGCCGCGAGTTGAGCTAGTTTTAGCTAGCTCACCACGAAGAAAAAGTATCTCGAAAAACATTTTTTGCAAGTGGCCCTTATACGCTTCCGTATAATAGTGCTTTCGGTCCTCTGAATTTATCCATTCCGCCTAAAAGCATTGCGAAGAGCTCGAAACCAAGACTAGTCTTGGCCAATCAGCGTGCGCGCTCAATGTCGGTGACCTGTCTCAACGGCTGTCCTCTCGTTTGCCGTATACGCATCTCACGCACGTGCGCTTTGAGAGCTTTTTTCCTGGATGATGAGACGCGGCGGAAGGCAGCGCTGCGCACGTGTTTTGAGTTCAATTGCCACTCCAAGCGGACGAGATATATAATCTGCGAGTACCGCTCGTCGCTCCAGCGCTGCCCGGACTACTCCTACGGAAGGAGACCGCGATGTTTTCGTCTCGACTCTGACTGTATACCGGTAAGTCTCGCACGGTCCTCTCTCACTTGTCAAGACAAGATTCTAAGGATTTACGGTGCAGTTGCATGCTCAAGTAGAAACATGAAACCCAATTGTCTGCCTCAGTGAAGTCATAGAAACCCATAGCCTGTCAAAATATTACCGTCTACTCATGCAAGCACACAGGTCTGTGCTCAGACATGCTGTATGGTTTGTGAGAAAAGGTAAACGCAACTCTACATTGGGGTAAAATGAAATATTAACTTTGTGCGGTAAACAGACGTATTTTATGAAAGAATTTTAGTAATAGAAGTACATACTGCGTTCTTGGCTTTTATTCTAGGCAAAATACGCGTGCTATAAAATCATTACAGAGCGCACTTCAGGCAAAATACATGCAACGCATTGGCAAACTGTTTGGTAACTTCTACAAAATACTTGTGCACGTGACACCTCTCCCACAAAGAAAGGGCGGTGTAACGGTTTTCCCCAAACATGATCGACCACAATAACCAGTCGAGTGTCAAAGTGGAGTATGCTAGGAGCGGTCACTTAGGATAGCCTTCAGCGGCCTGTCAATGAGAAACGGACTACTGTACGGTGCGACTCGCTAAGCATTGCCTCGAGGAAGTACCCGAATCGGACAGAATCCAACGGAGTGCATTAGGCCTATTCTACCAACCATTCTAGCGAATTTAGCGCCACCGAGAATCAGACATCAAGCCTCCTGGAACCCAAACCAGGACAAGGATGGGCTCTTTTGACATTACAATCATTTACGTTGGATGGTAAAACTGGAATGATTCACAAAGTGTTAAAATATATCGTAAAGCTATATCAAACACACCAAATAGTAATCGCCACCAAAAATGAAATTTGACTGAAATGCAAAAATTGAAAACACGACCCGCTTTTTAAAACTAAGAGGGGCAAAATACGTAGCTTGAAAACTTACATCAGATGATCAGACAAGGCTAGTGCCGCAAATTGTGGCCGTCCGCACGAACATTAGGCAACACGAGAGCGGTGCCAGACTAAACTGTGACTCTGCCATCCTAGGCCCCTATATTTAGTGGACAAATTGCAGTGTGGGTGTCTGTCTGACAGCTTTCGGGCTTTTTTTTTATCGCCAGTTGTCACGGACGCCCCAACGATTCAGTTTTCCCGACATCGTTACAATCGACGACCGAAGCTTCGAGTTCACGACTCGCCCAGGACTCCTGGGAGCAGAGATTATGTCAACATTCCCCGCTGCATTCATTGCACAGAGGGATACATTTCCATGGAAATTTCTCCCATTTTGATATACTCGTGATCCGAAGTTGAACGTTTACATAATTCGCTGTATAGAAAGGTCCCTCGAGTCTGCCGGCAATTGTTTTAAACGACAACCACGCCACAGCAAAACGAGTCGGGAGCGAATTATGCGTAAGAACCATTGAAGGGCTGTTGACATGAATATACTTGGGGACATGCTTTTATACAACTTTCGTGTTGTTGTGTGTATTAACGTTTTATACATGCTAAACGTTTCCCACAATTTTCCTGCTAAATGAGGGCGCTGTTGCCATGATGTCATTTAGGCAGATGATTATAAGGGAACCAACATTTGTTCACTGAAAACATTTCCCGTGACACCTGTGCTCATAATGCACGGGCCCTCTGCCAGGAATTGGGGCAACTACTTAAGAGAACAAAATAACAAACCTCTAGCGAATGTTGACGGTGTTGAAACCTTTAAAGGGATTTCTTTGAATGATATCAAACTTTTGCTCATAAAAATGCAAAATGATCAGTGTGCAAATCGAAAAGGTATAAAAATGCTCCTAAATGTGATAACAGGTGGGGTTTGGGAACTGTTCTTAAAGGGACACAAAGGTGTCTTGACAAGGCCTGCATTGAATTTCCATCGCATGATGGGCCCTTTGAAGCATCATCTAATGCCAAGTCCTCATCTGCCAATTTCTGTTCATCTTACTTTTTGCTGAATCGTCATTCACAGGAAACCCTTCCTGGAACTACGGTGCTGAAACCCGGGCTGAAAAACAGTCATTTGGGAATCGTAATGTCCGTTCGCTTCGTGCTCGGGCCCAAAATTTATGAGACTCCGACCAACTAACGAATTACGAGATGCCAGGACTAATTTTGAGTTACAGGTCTCCGAAAAAAAAAATCCTGCACCGAATGGAAAGCAGCAGGGGGGGGGGCGTTGGCGTCTTTCCTGCCCGTTTCATCAAAGTGTCAGACTAAGTGATGCATCAAAACAAGAGCTCGACATGCTCTCTTGCATGCAAACTGAAATAAGCAAGTAAAGAAACATAAAGAGTCGTTTTCGTGGGATCCAATCAAACATGGAGCTATTTCGTGGGCGCCACTTCGGTCCGTGATTGCAACTGTACAGTTGTGATATTTCCATTCATTTTTTTCCCAGTATCGTGCGAATAGGACTGGCAATAATAATTCCGCGTGGGAAGGTACGGAGTATAGATTTTGCAAACTCCTTGGGGGCCATGGAGAGGCATCGCAAGGCCGGATAAAAGTGTTATAGATCCGAGTGACTACTCGCCAGCGCACACCTCGCGAGCAGGCGGACCTGTCAAAATCTCTACAGTGGCAGAGGCAGGAACTCGATCGCTGTTAGTAATAAAAAAAATGAATCGCCGCTGCGTGTGATTCCGCAAGCGACGACGCGGCAGCCGGATTGTGGGGAAAATTGTCGGATCGGCATCGATTTTTTTTTTCTCTCCGCCGTACAGCTCGCACGAGGACAGCTCAGCCTAGCCGGGCGGCTTTCTTGCATCATCTTCGATCTGCTTGAGGACGCGGGGTCTTTTCCTTATTTATCACGTGACAGGCAGGTCAGGATGGTCGGTCGGCGATTACTGCCCGGGGTATATTTTTACTCTCGAGATTATCTGTCAAAGTGTGGCCTTGTGCGATGCAAATGCAGATATAGATTTTATTACCTCGTATATAAAGAAATAGCAGGCACATTTCAACGGATTAATGATCTCAAGCAAACTTTATGTTTGGCAGCGAGTCCACTTAACGCTCTTTGTAATAGCTGTCAAGAGGAAACTGCGTTGTGAGCGGCGAATTCTAAGCGATACGACGCTGGGAAAGCTCCACAGTGTGGGGTCTGAGCTGAACTGCTTTGATCAAAGGAGATAACATAGACTGACAACGCTGTAGTTTTTGTGGATCAAATTGTATTTTATCGAGTACACGAACGCTCAACTTGCTCCGTGATATCACGGGAATCTTCCTTAAATATTCTAGGTGTACAAGTGTGGTTGATGGATTGCATTAGAAGCGACAGTGGAGAGCTTCCAGAATGACCTTAATGGAGTGCTTACGAATAAGCCTTTTGCGAGTTAAATTGAAATCAAATCTGGTACCCTTAATTATTTAAATTCACGTGAACATAAAAATTTTAATTCTCCATTCTGAAGACACTGTTGCTATTCCTCGTGATTTGGGGCAAGCTTTTGCTTAGTTACATAAGAGGCGCCTTGCATCAATACACTGTTTTCAATGGATAAGGAAAGGAACCAGTCCATTCCAGCAGTGGCATAGCTAGGATTTTACTGGTGGGGGGCACGACGGGGCACCAACATCTCATGGGGGAGGGAACCAGCTTTCACTGGCGTGGTTTTGGGCCAAGTTTTGTCAGCCTTGTTGAGTATTCATTCCTCTTTTTTCAGTGGAGGGGGGGGGCACGTTCCCCCAGGCCCCCCCCCCCGCCCC